TATATCACATTTATGCTAATTTTAAATAATAACACACCTATTTTTATACATAAAAAAATTACTAGAAACAAAGACTATTACCAAAGGTGTGTGTTTGAGGTGTTACTACTTTCTATTCTTAAAGATTGCAGTGAAGGGAAAAAAGAATCTAAAACCTCCCTCACTCTACATGGCCTCTTGAAGATAACAAACAATTCCTTTCCAATACCGTACATTTGAATTAATAGAATTGAGATGCTCATTTCCTTTCCAACGAGTTTTAAAAAGACATCTATTTCTGAAACCACTTTCAGAGTATATGTGATGTGATCAAAAAGGTTGTCAGAGCCATGTTTGCCGATTGATGACCATGGACTAGCACAGTTTTCCATCTTGTCTGTAGATAATGCCTCCTCTCTCGGTCAGTGAGAGGAGGTGTCCTGTCTTTGTGGATATAAATTGCAACCATCCTGAGAAAGACTGTCTGCCCTGTGTGTGGAAGATGGCTGAGCAGGACAGGTTTAGTGCATATGTGTGACTGTCAATCTGTTTTCAATCTTCAGGGCTGGACTTGGAGTTTCTACTTTTGTTTCAAAAAGAAAATGCAATATTTGAAGGGAATACTCAGTAACAAACAGGTGCACTGTGGCTGCTATTCCCCAAACCCTCCAAATCATTTAACAGATTTGCCTTGTGGCATTTTTTTTTTTGTGGGGTTTTTGTGCAGACACATGAGAGAGAATCTCCAATGGACTCCATCATAAAGGACCCCAAGAGGGGACACACATCAACTTCAGCATAAAAGAGAAACAAAATGACCCTTAAGGAAGGCTGAAGAAACCATCACCATTTCAGTAGGCTGAAATCACCGTCCAATCTGTTCTCTCAGCTCCCCTTTGCCTACCACATCCAATTCCACAGCAAACTAATTCACTTCCTGGAAGGGCTTTTATGACCTAGAGCTGAGAAGACCTCTAAAACAAGTCTTCCATTCCTCCGTCAAGCCTGGTTCAGCTTCCCCACCCACAGTGCCCTTTCTAGTTTTTCCTTAACTTGAAATGTCTGACGCTTGTATTTTCCTTTCTTACTGTTATCCCATTACTTCTAGTTTCAACCCCTTCTGTCATGCCAACTAATTCCTCTCTGTCCTTTGTAGACAATTATATCATCTTTAGTCCTTCCTTGGATTTTATTTTCCATCCACATAAGTCACCCCCGTGGCCATTCTGTAATTCTTTTTGCCTTGCTCTGAACTCTGCACCATCTAGCTCTCTCACTGTGGGTCTCCAAAGCCCAAATGGCCCCTCCTGATTTGGGGCTTAACCTGGACTGAGAAAGGAAGCAGCATTCTCTCTCTTTATTAATAGGGGCTATTTTGCCAGAACTTTCAAATGGCATTTTGTGAATTAACTTTGGCTCTGTGAGGTTGCCATAGAAATAATTCTTAGTTATTTGTAAGTTTTCACCTGTGCCTGGCATCATACTACTCTCTAAATCACTACTGTCTAATAAAAATCAAATGTAAACTACACATGTAATATTAAATTTTCTAGTAACCACATTAAAGAAGCAGAAAGACACAGGGAAAATTAATGTTGATAATATTTAACAATATATCAAAAAGTTTATCACTTTGATATGTAATCCATAGTGAAAATTAATGGAATATTTAAAATGTCTTTTTTTTTTACTAAATCTTGGAGATCTTGTGTATTTTGTTTCACTCTTATAGTTCATCTCAATTTGGATACTACATATTCATCAGAAAAACAGTATTTTATCTATATGAGATAATTTAGATTTCATAAAATTTGAATTTGAAGTAGATTTACGTACCAAGTTTTTCAGACATAAAGTTCTACAATAGCTATATTGAGCATTTAAAAAATAATATTGTAGGTAATTAAAATGAAATGAAAATTCAGTTACTTAGCTGTGTTGGCTACATTTTAATTGCTGAAATGTCCATCACATAAATGATTTAGCTTCTGTTTCTGAGGTGAATCAAATTTTTTAGGTCCTTGTTACAGGAACTTTAGGGAGGGGGGACTGGGAAGAGGACAATATTTTTGTTCCACTGAATTTCAGTATGGTGTCCATTTTGTTGGAGTTTTCAAAATAAGTTCTTTTATGCACTCATTCATGATAAAACACTTAACAAATTGGAATAGATAGGATTTTTTTTTAACTTGATAAAGAACCTCTACAAAGAACTCACAATTAATAACATCATGGGTAGTTGTGAAATACCAAATGCTTTTAACCCCAATATCAGGAACAAAATAAGGATGTCTGCTCTTGACACTTCTTTTCAGTATTGTCCTGAACTATCTATTCAGGGCAATTTAAAAAGGAAAGAAATTAAAGGCTCTTGAATTGTAAACATAGAAGCAAAATAATCTCTATTTTCAGATTAGATGGTCTTGCATTTAGAGTATTCTAAGGAATTAAAAAGGACAAATTAATAAAACTAATAAAAAAGCTTGTAAGACTATAAACTACAGGGTCACTATTTATAATAAATTGAATTTCAATACACTGGCAAGGAATATTTTGAAAGTGAAAGTGATATTAGGAAAACAGTTCTTTAATAGCAGCAAAAGAACAAATTAGGTAGAAATTGAGCCAAGGAAATGAGAAACTTGCATTCTAATAACTATGAAACATTGTTGAAAGGAACCAACGGAGATCTAAGTAAATGGAAACACATCTCATATTTAAAGATTATATTATCCAGTTTCCAACGGATGGGCAAATAGGTTGTTTCCAAGATTTAGCTATTACAAACTGTGCCGCTATTGCCCATCCGTTGGAAACTGGATAAAGAAGTTGTGGTTTTTCTATAAAATGGAATATTACTCAGCCATAAAGAGCGAGAGAATAGATTCATTCATAGGAAAATGGATACATATTGAAGATATACTCCTAAGTGAAATAAATAAGTCACACATGTGTAAATACCGAATAGTTTCCCTGGTGTGAATATTCTGCAACAATGCATAAGATTCTAATAAGATTACTGACATTTAGAAATGGGAGGAAAGGAGCTAAAGGTGTAGGGAAGGTGTGATACGTAGGGGAAGAACAAAAAGGGAAAGGAAAAAAATGTGAGAGAATGAAAAGATGAAAATAAAGTGTTTGTAGATGGGGAGGGGAGGAGGGGGTGAAGGGAGGGCAGAGGTAAGGGGAAAAAAATGAGAATCAAGACTTGCCATGTAAAGGTACATGATCCCAACAATGAATGTAACTGTACTGTATCCCTAAATGTACCAATAAACTCAATAAAAAAAAAAAAAGATTATATTATGTAATATTTATTAAGATGGTATAGGCTTGGAAAGGTATAACTTAGGGGTTATGGCTGACAATTTTACTACAGAAGACAGGGAATGTAACAGAAGTATAACACATTTAATTAATCATAATTTTATGACACAGGAACTTTCAGAAAGAAATAACCCAGGAAGCTGTATTTTTATGCTTCATTTCAATACATAATGGAGAGTCAGGAGGAACTGTGATGGGACAAAAAAGGTATCATCTGATCCTAAGAGAGTGAGGTAGGGTGTGGAGCCAGAAAGGCCCAACATTTCAGATCCCTGTGGGCCTCAGTGTCACATGTCTTTCTTCTGGGTGTGGGGCAGGAAACCTATAGAATGAAGATTGCCACTGGAGAAGGTGGGAGTGATTTCTCTAGGTTTTACCTTGGGGATGAGGAAGTCTAGTTTGTACGACCTACTTTGGAGAAGAGGAAGTCATTTCTATGACTTGCTTCAGGGGAGGGAGAAGAATGGGAGATAAGAAGATGGGAAAAGATCATAAAGATCTTGCTTCTGAAGCCTTTCCAATATCTTTCAGGTCAAAGTATTTAGCACACTTTGGATTATTAATTTCTGAGCCCAGACAATAGCAATATTCCCCAAATGGATCCACAATGAATTTAATTCTTATCAAAGATTCAGTTAGTTTTTTTACAGAAATTTACAAGCGAACTCTAAAATTCATATCCAAGCAATCCAAAATAGCTAAACAAAGCTGGAGGGCCCACACAGACTGCCACTACAAAGCTGCAATGACCAAGTAATCGAGTGTGGTACTGTCATGAGGGTGGATATACAGATTATGGGCGCAGAATTAAGAGTCCAGAACTACTACACCTTTACAATGCCAAGTTTTGACAGAAGTGTCAAGTTTGTTCTGTGGAGGCAAGAATCATATTTTCGTCCAATGGTGCGGGGACAGCCCAATGTCCAAGAATGAATTGAATCCTATAATTAAAAAAAAATTAACACAATATGGACATAAATGTGAGAGCTAACTGTATAAAATTGTGAGATATAAGTGTGAGGACTAAGCGTATAAAATCTGTAAAACTTTGAGATGGAAACACAGTAGGAAGTCCTCCTGTCTTAGCCAAAGCCTTCTTAGGTGACTCCAGAAGCACAGCTAAGAAAAGAAAAAATAAATGTTTGATCTCCTGAAGTCTGACACCATTTTGCTACAGAAAGGGAAAACGTGGTGCTTCCAACTCCATGAGTCTTAATATAAGAACTTACAAGGCAGGAATTTATGATAAAAAATTTGAACATATGGATGAATCTTGAAAATACTATGTTATATCAAAAAAGGATATAATACAGATCAAATATGCCTCACCCAAAAATCTGAAGTCTAAAATTTTTTAAAAACTCTTTTTTGGACTGTTGATATCCTGTAGGAAGTTTCCCACTGATTGTATGTGCTAGGTTACACTCAAAATGAGGTGCACTACAAATGTATGCAATTTTAGGCTGTGCATATAAGGTATATGTGACTATGTAAATGAATTTCATATTTAGACTTAGATCCCATCCCCCAGATGTCTCATTATGCAGCTGCAATTATTTCAAAATCAGAAAAAAAATCTGAAATCTGAAACATTTCTAGTACCATGTCTCAGATAAGGAATATTCAACCCGTGGAAATAATAAGTCAATAATAAAAAGGTTATTCAATTTAAAAATGAGCCAAGATCTGAGCTGTTTCTAAAAATATATATGCAAGTGGCTAATGGACATTTTGAAAAGATGCTCAAAATCAGGAACCACAAGGGAAATACAAACTCAAACCAGTATACGATGCCACTGTTTTAATATAATATATTTTAGGACACACACACAAATATGGCTATTAAAAAACAGATAATACTAAAATAATACTAAGAATGTAGACAAATTGGAACCCTCATATATTGCAATTGGGAATGTAAAGTATGATTACCACTTTGGGAAACAGTTCGGCAATTCCTCTTCAGGTTAATCGTAGGGTTCCACTCTTAGCAATATACCCAAGAGAAATGAAAACAATCCCCACAGAAACGCATAAACAAATGTTCGTAGCAGCATTATTCATAATAGCTGAAACTGGAAACATCCCAGATGTTCATCGACAGATGTCAAAGGAGGAATGGGTGATGAAACTGTGACACATTCATACAATGGGATGATATTTGGCAGTAAAAAGGAAGGAAATTCTGAGAGTTGCTATAACATGGATGAAAGTTGAAAACATTGAGTGAACAAAATGGGTCACCAAAGGCCACGTATTATATAATTCTGTTTATATCTAGGGTAAGAAGTTTGGAAGGGACAGAAAGTAGATAAACTGTTCCCTAGGGTTGGCTGGTTGGGGATCAGGGAGTGGGGATGGAAGAATGACTGCTAATGGATACCAGTTCTCATTTTTGGATGATGAAAATGATCTACAATTGATTGTGGTAAAAAAAAAATTATATATATATATATGTATATATATAGCACTGAATTGTACACTTTAATGTATGAGTTGTATTACAGTAGGTAGATTGTAGCTCAATAAAGCTGCAAAAACAAACAGTTCTTTCTGTGCGAAGTAGGTAGATCAAGTTAGACTCTCAATTCCACTTATTTGAAAGGCAAAAAGCATGGTTTATAAAACCAAACATTTCCTCAGAAAGGCTGAACTTTGGGGCATGAGGGACATTTAAAAAATGAAAAAAAAAATCTCTGTTGCTCCAAGAAGTGAGGGAGAGAATCACTTAGAGGAAGGATGAGAAATTAGGAATTAAGGCACCTAAATGCCTGGAGCAAGGCAAGGCAGAAATGGATCTGAAAGTGGACACTGAGATGCCTGGGACTCTTGAATTTGGGTTGCAAGAAGAAGGACAATGAACCTTCAGCTTTGCAGACTGTGGGCCAAGCCTGAAGGTATGAGCCCACCAAAAAGTGCTTCAAGTTCTCACACTGCTGAAAGTCTCTCTGTCCGCTCCCATTTTCCAACTTGCTTCTAGATCTGTGTTGCAGTCTCTGTGTCCTCTTGGAAGAGTTGTGGCCCTCTTTGGACATAGGGTGCTCTAGGAAAATTCCTGTTGAGTCTGTTTGGCCCACATGTTGGAGAAACTGAGTATTATCTGTAGCCCTTTGAGCGCCTTGGAGCAGACCATGGATGGGTGTGTAAGCATTGGACAGAAATGTGGACTTTCCTCACTTTTAGGGCTCTCTGTGGCTTTTTATATAGCAAAAAACAACCCATAGCCACTGAGAAGC